ATAATAAACACAAGACCATTATTTAGACTTTCTGTTTCTGGGAGCAAAGTCCTCACTCTCTCTGCATGATCAGTTCTGTTCCGGTCCCTGTGATTGAACTTTGTGCATGTGGATCTTGACATCTTGGGGCTTTTGGAAAGCCAGCGTGGTATAGTGATTGAAATGTTGGACTGGCACTTAGGAGATCTGGGTTCAAGAGTCTGTTTAGGCATGAAATTTATTGGATGATGTTCAGCCAATCACTCTTTCAACTTAACAGGACTCCTGTGACATAAAATGAGGGAAAGAGCCATGTATACCTCCTTGAGCTCATGGAGGAAAAGGGGGATATAAATGTAACAAATAAATGAATGAGACAGATTCTTGCTCCTAATTTCTCACCATCTTTTTCCACTGACAGCTCAAATTTCACACTCGTCCAAAGCTAAGGTTACCCACTATACCTATCACCAAACCCCACACTATGAAACCAGCTCCGCGGCCAGCAACTGTGAGACCCACAGTCTCTCCTGTGGTATCAGGTGCACGCAGAAGGAGAGTACGATGCCGTAAATGCAAGGCCTGCCTGCAAGGGGAATGTGGCATGTGTCACTACTGCAAGGATATGAAAAAGTTTGGAGGGCCTGGTCGCATGAAGCAGTCCTGTGTATTACGGCAGTGCTTGGCAGTAAGTCCTGTGATATATTAGATGTCTTTCTTTGAAAGAGTTCATTTCTTCAAGAAAACAGAATGCAGTCTGTACGTCTTATCAGATGTGATGGGCAGAATTAAGGAGGTGAATTTAAAATTTAAAAGGTCTCACTCACATCCATATGTTAGTGAATGGTCAAATAGGAGTTATTGGAGAGTTCATTTTTTGGGTATAGAATTGGTTAGGATGGAAAATATGCAGTAATTATTCTTGAAGATGTAGCATAACTGCTTGCATTACTATGTTTGCTTTGTAGCCCAGACTGCCTCACTCGGTCACATGTGCACTTTGTGGGGAGGTAGATAAGAATGAAGATTCACAGGACTTTGAAAAGAAGTTAATGGAGTGCTGCATCTGCAATGAGATTGTTCACCCTGGTTGTCTACAGGTGAGAAAGTATGAGCTGCATAGTCAGAAGCAGCTGTTTAACTCGCCCTGATAAAGTAGTGTGAGGAACATATGCCTTCCTAGAAATTACTGATGAGTTTCTTTCCCCTGCAGATGGATGGCGAAGGGCTACTGAATGATGAATTGCCCAACTGCTGGGAATGTCCAAAGTGCTACAAGGGAGATGAAGCTGAGAAAGGCCAGGTAAGAAGTGGATTTTCCTTTCCCTTTACCATAGGAAATGGATCCATTATCACGCACTGCTTGTGGGTAATAAAGAGGCAAGCTGTCGCATATGGAAAGATTCAGCATTCCTTATTCTTTGTATTTAATCTTATATAAAGAGGTTCTTATGGTGTACTAATATATTGGCCTTCTTTTCTTTGCACACTTGGGAAGAGTTAATAAAGACACGTGATTAAAAGTCAGGCAGATGAGCATTAGTGGATGCTATTTGAGTAAAATACCTCCATCTAGAAATGGGCAGTGGTGACGCTATATGCTGGTATACAATGGAGCTACTTAGCTTTGCCACTGCCACCTTCCTGACATCTACAAAGAGCTTATCAGCGAGAAAACCCTGGCAACATGAGGAAAAGGCAGATCCTGAGATGACAACAATATCACCTTTCATCTGCCAAACAGCAAACATATTATTAGTGGCCCCAGTAGAAACATGGTTACAAAATCCTTCATGGAGTTGTGACACCTGTTCCATCAAAGACCATCCCACTGGAGGCAAGCAAAAGAGATGGGTGGAAATGAATGGGTGGCATCTCATCACAGACATTATTTCCTGATGCAGTTACAGTGCTGCCCTCTGGATGGCCAGTGTACCCTGCAGCACTTTATTCAGTCATGGATAACTTGAGTCATAGCAATCAGATTCATCATTCTTCTCAGCAGTCCTTGTATGATAAACACTTGTGTCAACTACTTTCAGGTTTCTTAATAAGGTGTGAAATACAAGTTCTTCCTCTCCTCATTTTAAGTAACACTCATTTTGTTCCTTCTCACACATTTACTTTTCTGGAAATCACCAATTTTAAATGAAACAGTTCTGCGTGGTTTCAGCATCAACATTTGCTTGAGAATTAATCTGTCAGGAAAGTTTCACATTCTCTGGTCTGCATACTAAGAGTTGCTCTAAGTAAACTGTGCATAGTTTGAGTTGGGTTTAACAGTTGATTAGCTTACTACATTTGCTACTTTACTTCATAGTGGATTTATATGTGCCTCTGCTGCTCTCAGGTTTTATTCTGCAACTTAAGAACTTTTTATTGGATATATGCTAAAACTTCAATTTCACCCAGTGACTGTATTATTCTTTGTCCCTTTTTTCAAAGCCCTTAATGGCCCATAATTTGTGGGTTGCATTTTTGTTTAGAGCAAAATCTGTCAGAACCTGTTTAGCCAACAACTAATGCAGAGGTTGTCTAAGATTTTCCACCTGAATATAGTCCTCTGAACAAATTATGCCAAGAAAGGGTCACGTTAGGGTCACCCTAAGTTGGAAGCAACATGAAGGCACACAGCACACACACGGTCCTGATTCACATAATGACCAATAGGAGAGAGATTAAGCTTTCATGCAGTATGGTTTAACTGTCTCATCTAAAAATAGATGGCATGCAGTAAGAGGGGAACTTCTCTAAAACAGGCATTTAAGGCTCTGACAGGATGCGGTGGCTTAGTGGTTAAGACGCCAATTCTGAAGATTGGAATGTTAGCAGTTCGAGGCCCAGGTGCTGCATGATGGGGTGAACTCCTGTCACTAGTCGCAGCTTCTGCCAACCTAGCAGTTCGAAAGCATGCAAATGCAAATAGATAAATAGATACCACTCAGTTGGGAGGGTAACAGTGTTCCATGCAGTCATGCTGGCCACATGACCACCAGAGCAGTCCTTGGACAACACTGGCTCTTCAGCTTAGTAATGGAGATGAGCATCGTGCCCTACTGTCGATTACAACTAGACATTCATGTCAAGGGACTTTTTACAGCAGTTGACACAAACAGCTGTACAGGGACTTGTTCGGGTTCCTGCTGCTGAGGAAAGGTCAGAGTCTTCTACAAAGCCCAGGCAACAACTCCTTAAGGCCTTGACAGAGCCCCTGTCCTTTGTGGTTTCTGCCCCTTCACTGTCCCAGTCAGGGCCTTAATACACAAAGCAATTCAGCTTCTCCTTTTCTCCACTTCCTCTCTATCCCACACAGGAAGTAGAAGTGAAGAGTGTTGATGCAGCATGTATCTTCTCTTCCTCTTCTTTGTAATGCTACAGCTAGTTAGGGGAACCATTTAAAATTAAAAGAATCAATGAGGGAGCAATATGCAGGGAGGTTTCTATTAGGACCTGTATCACTCATGAGGACTACATTAGTGACCTTTGTGATAAACATCTTGGTTCTGTATTAAGCCTCCTTTGCTTTTATAGTAAGCCAATGCAATTTCTGCTATTCCCAATTTTTACTAGTAATGGTGAACAGCTTTTAGTTGATACATTGGGAATGGAAAAGACATCTTTTTACTAAGAGATGTTTAGTTAGCCTTAACCTTGTGAAAGCAGACATCCTGATCCCTCCCTCATGCATTTTACTTTTAACTTAATCTGTTCTGTCACAGCAACTCCAAGAATAAAACTCTTGTTTAGTCTTTAAACCTGATGTTTAGCCTTCAAATGTTAATCTGGTGCCACTCACATTGTAGAAGCGGAAGATGGATGATGGTGATGATGATGCAGTCCAAGCCAAAGTCCTGCGACCTTTGAGAAGCTGTGAGGAACCTCTGACTCCCCCACCACATTCACCTACCCCAATGCTGCAGTTGATCCATGACCCTGTGTCACCACGAAGCATAGTAACACGATCCTCTCCAGGAGCAGGTCCTAGTGACCATCATGGTGCAAGTCGGGATGAACGCTTTAAGCGGCGGCAGCTACTTCGGCTGCAGGGTGCAGAGCGCACAGTAGTGCGGGAAAAAGAGAACAACCCTAGTGGCAAGAAAGAGCTTTCAGAGGTAGAGAAAGCCAAGCTCCATGGTTCTTACCTTACAGTCACATTGCAAAGACCTACCAAAGACATGCATGGCACTTCCATTGTGCCCAAGCTGCAGGCAATAACGGCCTCCACTAATTTGCGACACTCTCCCCGTGTGGTCATGCGCCAAAGTTCAGCCAAGACACCCCAGCGGGGAGGAGATGATGAGGCAGCGGAGGAGGAAGAGGAAGAGGAAACTGCAGATGAGGAAGAGGAGAGTGCTGAGGAGAGTGGGGCAGCAAGACTGAATGGTCAGGGTGGCAGGGCACCAGATGGGGAGGAGCAATTGATGCAGAAGGAGGTGTGGATGTCTGTCTTCCGCTATCTCACCCGCAAGGAGCTTTGTGAATGTATGCGTGTATGCAAAACCTGGCACAAATGGTAAGTGGACAGAACTTGCTACCTAGGTTGCACTTTCTACTCATTTATTTGTTGTTTCTGTCTTTCAGAATGCTTTACTAAACCCGTACCCCTCTCAAACTCAATTCTATCTGGACCTTCCAGACTTACATATAAGTAGACATAAGGGAGGATAAGTGGGCAGAGGAGAAAAAGAGAATGTATTGATATAATGCATAATTAACTTTCAGAATTCATGCTGTAGACTGTAGTGATGGCAAAAACTCAGATGACTGTTGTATAAAAGCTTTGACAAATCCATGGCTAGGTTGTGAGGAACGTCTAGCTAAATTTAAATCCTCATCTTCAGGAGCAGTGTATAAAATATATATATTTAGTTGTCATGTGACTCTAAGTCATTTTTGACTAATGGCAACCCTAAGACAACCCTATCATTGGATTTTCTTGATAATTTTTTTTTTCAGAAGGGGTTTGCTATTGTCATCTTCTGAGGCTGAGAGAATGTGACTTACCCAGTGGGGTTTTTATTTTCAAGCGAGGAATCGAACCTTGATCTTCAGAATTGTAGTCCAACGCTCAAACCACTATACCACGTTGGCTATATATGGGTGCTGAATAAAAGGTGGGGGGAAGGGGAGTAATCAAAAAATTGAACCAGTGTGGTATAAGATTGAAATCTGTTCTCAGCCTGAGAAGCCCACTGGATGACATTGTCAGATTCCCACAGCCTCAGAGGAAGGCAATGGTAACCCCCCCCCCCCTTTGAACAAATCTTGCCATGAAAACCCCATGATAGGGTCACCATTGAAATCACACAACAACAGCAATCAAAAAATTGCCTTTATGTTTCACTATTGAAAACAGAAAGGTGGGATACATTAATCCTGATATAGTGTAGCAGTTCTTACAAAAGTATCCTGTTAATTTTTCCTATCATGGCCTGACTGAGCCAAGCATGGTGCTTTCTAAAAAAAAATGCTGAAATTATGATGATGGTGATGATAATGATGACGACGACAACTTGGTCTATTAAATTCCCAAGATTGTCTTGTGCAGCACAATCAACAGAGATCCTGGGCTCACCCATACAGCCACAGCAATTTGGTTGGAATGGATGTAAAATACTCAGATGTTTGGAGGGCATGGAAATATTTTGGGAAAACAAATTGGGTCTGGTCAGTAGAAAGAAATGTTTGAAATATTGATTCCATTAATAAAATAGTTGTCAATTATGAAATCATAAATAAAGTAAACCTAAAAGACCATATCTCCCAATAGAAAAATGCCAGAACCCTAAGATCTTAAAGATGAGGCTTTCTCTCATTCCCACCAAAATCACAGGCTTGCTTGGTGAGGACACGAGAGAAACTCTTTTCCGTGGCTGCTCCCACCCTCTGGAACTCCCTTCCGCAAGAGGTTAGGCTGCCCCACTCCTTGATCTCCTTCCCCTGGCAGGCAAAGACTTTTCTGTTTAAGCAGGCTTTTAATGCATAAACAGGGGGGCTTTTTATTGGGGATATTTTATTTTTAAAGTTTTTGGTTTTTAAATTATTTTAATGTGTTTTCTGATGTGATTATAGTTGTTCTTAAATGTTATTGTAAACATTTTTAATTTACTATTTCTGGAAGCTGCCTTGGGTCTCACTCTGGGAGAAAGGCAGCAGATAAATGAAATAAATAATAAAGGATGTCCAAAACATGCCTGCCCTTGACAGTATCCTGTCAATATATACAAACGTAATATTTTATGAGGTTCTTTAGAAATACTTCAGTGCTGTGTATTCTTGTGGGTATTTCACTCCTTACTATGTTGAATTATTCTCCAGCCACATATACAAGAATGCACAAAAGAAAGATTCCCAGTTTGATCCTAAAATTTCATTTAAAAAAAATTCAAATTGCTATTGCCAATATTTCTGTGTCTTCAGATGTAAATGTCTGAACAGTGGCTTTAAGTATTGTGTTTCACAGTACCAGGGATCCTGGTCACCCTAAAAGGCCAAACAAGCCTCTTGCTTGGCATAATCCAGGTTCAGCAAGTACATGTTATGATTGGCAAATAAAAATAGTGACCTGGCTCTTTCCAGATTTCTTGAATTCTTAGGCCTTTCTATAAGAGTTCAAATGTTTTCTACTTTTCAGCAGGATATGTTTAAAGCCCTGAGCTTTTGATTTGGGTTTAGTCTAGCCAATATCCTTTCTCCATTTCAATAGATTGGCTAAGGTTGAGTTCTCAAGCTTTTACCTCTTAAGGCAAAGAAAAAAATTGACTGGAAATAACCATATGAACACTATTCTAGTTCCTGCACCGCTGAAAGACTGGATTGGACCCATAGTTTCAGAAGTGCCTTGCGTACTACTTAACCTCTTGACCAGAACTTTGAGCCTCTTGGAGAGTCTTTCCATCATAGAAGGCCTTAGCTTCCCTTCATCTGGTAACCTGAGAGATGTTTAGTTAGCCTTAACTAAACATGTTTTAGGCTGTAATCAGAAGGTGAATGTTAGAAAATTTTAATCATCCTTTCTGAGATTCCTTATTGGAGATTGTTCCCTAGGCTGGAGAGATGAGTAATAATAAAGAAAATCTATCTTTTCACTCCCTGTTTTAGTTTAGGACAGCAAATGCTGAAATAGTTGTAAGAAGTTGATGAGTTTTTGCATTCCCCACATAGAATCTCACTTTGTCTTTCCATAGAGAGTTACTATCACAGAACCTTGAATTAGGTGTTTCTTTGAGAGCATCTGGGATGCTAAAGGAGGAAGTATATCTCAGGTTGCCCAGGAGAGGTACTTTTCCCTTCCTCTTTTTGGTGAAAATAGATTTAATGGGTGATTAGATGGGGACATACTTAAGATGCCAAAACTTCATGAACTCAAATAATAGTCTTGCAAGTGGCTGTAGAAGTTGCCTTAGTCTATTATTTCACCTGTCCTTCAGTTCCTTGCAAAGACTATGGTTGTTAGGTCATCCCTGCAGGCAAAACCAAATCAAGTTTCATCCATGAAATGCAAAAATTGTTGCAGGAATCGGGATGTTGGCTGAACTTAATATTGAATATGGGTTTCTTCTGCTCATTCTGGATTGGTTTCTTTTATGGGCATCCACTACTGCCCTGCAAACCTACTCATCTGTAAAAGGGACCCTGCCACAAAATGTTTATCAAAAACCATTAACTATATAGATATGGTGAAGGAAAAGCACATTCTCTAACTCCATGTGTTTTCCTTTAGGTGTGGTGATAGGAGATTGTGGACAAAGATTGATTTAAGCAGGTACAAGTCCATCACACCCCTGGCCCTTGGTGGTATAATCAGAAGGCAGCCAGTCAGCCTTGACCTCAGCTGGACCAATATTTCCAGAAAACAGCTCACTTGGCTCATAAACAGACTACCAGGTATGTATCTTGGTGGGTCAGCTTATCTTAACACAGTTGCTATTCGTTTGGGTATTTTGCATTGAACAAAGTTATCGCCTATATTTCATCCATCCCTAAAGCTGGTTTGTGAATATAGGCTTGGATACTTGATACCATAAGATTGCCTTCCTCTTCACTTCATTGTTCTTTAGTTGTAACTCTGGCAAGTTGCTTTGAGTAGCATGTTGTTGTTCATGTGGCATCTGCCATTATAACCCAGCCCAGGAGGTCTGTTGTCTCCCATCATTAATAGCCTGATCAAACTATAACTTTGATTTTGTTGCTCACATTGTTTTGGGGGGTGGGCTACTGTTAGTTTACTATTGTAAAGAAGAATATGGAACATTTACACTGTTGTTGTTTCATTCTGTTGCTGTGTCACAGGCCTCAAAGACCTCATCTTAGCAGGCTGCTCTTGGTCGGCAGTTTCTGCTCTCGGTACCTCCACTTGCCCCCTTCTCAGGACTCTCGATCTTCGGTGGGCAGTAGGAATCAAGGATCCTCAGATTCGGGACTTGCTCACACCTCCATCAGATAAACCCAGTATGTTTTTTGCCTTTCATCTATACTTGTGCTTGCTGGTGAGGTAGTTTGTGGGAGGGACATGTTGATGATGAGAAGCAGTTTGATGCATTTCTAGGAATATAGTTTGTGATGTCTGCTCTAGAGAGGCAAGAATCTATATTCCTTTTGAACATCTATACATATCTTCAAACAGGCCAAGACAATCGCAGCAAACTCCGTAACATGATAGACTTCCGGTTGGCTGGGCTGGACATCACAGATGCCACACTCCGACTCATCATCCGTCACATGCCTCTGCTCTCAAGACTTGATCTTAGTCACTGCAATCACCTTACAGACCAGTCAACCAACCTGTTAACAGCTGTGGGATCTTCCACACGAAACTCACTTACTGAAATCAATATGGCAGGTGCGTGTCTTTGGACATTTTCTTAAGTGTATTCGTTATTTCTGACATGTAGGGACTGCTATGACAAAGCCTTGCTGCTCTTGAGAGTTCTGTGTTACTGGAGAAAGAAGTGATTTACATCTAAAATTATGTGGCATGTTTTCACACAGGGTCACAGTGATAAATGAAGATTTAAGGCTAGTAGTCATATCACTTTTTGGGGTATTATATCATATAGTACAAAAGGGCTGTTTCTTCTTGACCCTTTTTAATAAGGGTATAGCAAAATAAACAATTGAGGCAATGCTAACTTTTAATTCTGATACATTACACTGGTGTAAACAGCCCTTGCCAAAAAAAAGCTAAAAACCGAATTTTTTCTGCATCTTGATGCAAAGAATGGCTTTTTTCTGTATTCTTCATCACTCCAGGCATAAAACCTGTCCTGTTCCATATCGCCGGTCAAAGCCATATCTGCTTGAGGTGCAGCCCTGTTTGTATTCGCACTCTTAGGTGACCAAAAAGTCAAACGGTGCATATGTCTAGTGGAGAATTTCCTTTTATGCTTGTATCTGATCCTTCCTGATTCTTAATATCACTTCAGCTATTCATCTGTAGCATATACAGTTGGTTCAGTTTACAGACCTTTGTGGAAATGGGCATGGGCATTGTGCAGACCATAACATTGTCTTTCTCTCCGCAGGCTGCAATAAGCTCACAGACCAGTCCCTGCTTTACCTGCGGCGCATTTCTAATGTCACTCTGATAGACCTTCGTGGCTGCAAGCAAATCACCCGTAAGGCTTGTGAGCATTTCATCTCAGATCTATCAATCAACAGCCTTTATTGCCTATCAGATGAAAAGCTGATCCAGAAAATCAGCTAGAAATTTGCCACAGATAGACTGAAGAGAAGGAAAGATCCCAGACAACCCCTCTTGGAGAGCAGACCCTCCCCCATTTTCCACAACATCCACAGGAAGAGAAAATAGCAGCCTGATTGTGACTATGATGTCCCTCCTCTCTTTGGGACTTCTGCAGACCAGGAAATCCCACCACATACTTGAGGAAGTGGAAACCAGAAGAGATTGTAGAATGGCTGTTCTTGTGGGGTACTTGCTCGTCAGCTACATGCCCTAACTTGATGTTTTGTAGCAGCATTTTCAGGGGAAAGTGTCCCTTCCTCTCCTCTTGGTCTCTGCCCTTTCCCATAAGTCCCACAAAAACAGATCACACTGCCCCATCAGATTGTGAGGGGATCAGACCAGGATA